TTCCTACTTTTTATTCAGTTCACGGCTGAAACCCTCTCCCCTAAGTTTATGGAGAAGTGTACTTAGCTGGCAGACATCGGTATTTTGGGAACACATTGCATATATGCCTCGTGGAGGCCCCCATATCTGACGTCATTCCCAGTGTCGCTTGCTACTGGTTCGGAATCTCCCATGCATTCTGCTGCCCCGGCAATCGAGGTCCTTCGTTATTTTTTTTCTTGGGGTGGAGGAAAGCAAATCCAGCCGTAGATGGCTTTTAAACGTGAGGTCCCGGCAAGTCCCGAGGGTGGAAGAAAACTCCTGTCGTGATTGGGCTGTCTCATTAGTCTAGAAGAGGTGCGCTTGCTTTCCTAACAGTAGCACTCATCCTGGCATTCCCTCAAGGGCAGTGTATGACTGAATGCTTCCGTTATGTACATGATATTGAAAATTGCAGTGATAAAAGAAACTCTTGATGATAGGCTGATTGCTGACACGCTTCTGGGCATGGACTAAATGACCTCTTTGTCATGTGGTATCGCATTACGCTACTCAATCTTGTTTTGTCGCCGACAATTTTTCCTCGAAAAATTTTGTCGGCGACAAAACGTACACTTTTAGCAGCCCTGGCCAGGTCAGGGCCTGGCTGCGTGACCGTGACATAACAGAGAATGCTGCCCTCCTTACCCCTCCCAGCCGTCACCACAACTGCGGCAGTCATCGCCACCGCCGTCACCACCGCTCCGGTCACCATCACCACCGCCGTCACCAACGTTCCGGTCACCATCACCACCGCCGTCACCAACGTTCCGGTCACCATCACCACCGCCGCCACTGCTCCGGTCACCGTCACCGCCGTCACCACCGTTCCGGTCACCATCACCACCGTCACCACCGCTCCGGTCGCCATCACCACCGTCACCACTGCTCCGGTCACCATCACCGCCGTCACCACCTCTCCGGTTGCCACCGCCACCCCCGTTGCCCTTGCCGCATGTACTTATGTGAGTCTGGTTGCATAGAAACGGACTGCACGGAACCGGAGCTGCACATTTTGAATGCGTGCAAAATATCGTGTACGATTGGTGTAACTGCTACAACGACTGGGGGACATTTTCCAGAATTCTCGCGGAATGGGGTTTGTCATCGAATTTTGCATGTGTAATGCACCTTGTACACTTCCCCATTCCAAATACAATTTTCGGCCAGGTCGTTCCTTCTTTCCAGCTTAACCTCCCCAGTTTTGATCCGTTCCCTAATCTCAGGGATGTCGTTACCCCCCCCCCCCCCCCTGAATTTCATCCAATAAATGCAATGCTTTTTCCAAAAGTGACGGGGGATTTCATTCCTTGTATACATCATTGTGTACATATACATCCACGCAACTTTCCCCTCCATTAAACCTTTGCACTACACATAGCTTGAAACAACTGATTGGTGAAATGTGCGAGACGGATTTTCTGTTTTTTTAAGTGTTTCTAAAAACGCAACGGAGTAACAGGGTCAAACAACTTTCGTTACTTATCCTGTACAGGAATGGAGTAACGAATAACGGAACTACCTTCCTAAAGTAACGGAGTAGCGAGTAACGGAACCTCTTTTTATGTAGCGGTCTCCAACAACGCCGCCGTCCGTAACGACGAACCCATCCTCAACGGAATATGAATTGATGGCTCAGAGCTGCGCTCCACGTCCAGAACACCATCCAACGGCTGGTTTGAACGTCACATCACCGTGTTGACCGCAGCGCTTAGCAGCGATCGACTGACTCTGCGCCTGGCCGTCGCCGTCGCCGCCGCGTCCCGCCGCGCCCAGTCCCTCCTCAGACAGTGGCGGAGGTCAATCACGCCATGCGGCGCCTCCGGCTGATTATCGCCCTCCTCTGGCTGGCCGAGGCGGCGGCGGTGGACGGGTCAGCGCGTCAGGGGGCGGCCCTGCCGGCCAGGGCGTTCGCGTTCGAGCCGCTGCCGCAGAGCAACGCCGAGATGCCGCCGGGGGACGGGTCCGAGCCGGGCGGCGTCAGCGAGTGTCACTGCCGCTACCTCTGTCTCAGCGATTCCGACTGCCGAGGGTACGGCTTCAGCGACACCTCGGCCGCCTGCCGACTGACTCACCTGCTGCCGACGCCGGAGAAGATGGAGACGAGCACCAATGTCTGGCGCTGGCACGCGCGCACCGGCGTCCGCCAGTTGGGCGAGCCGTGTACTACTGCGAGCGACTGTTCGCTACTTGTGGCTGGCGCGATCTGCCAGGACAGCATCTGCGTGTGCCGGCCGCCGCTCGAGGAGGGGGACGACCGCTGCCGCAAGACGGGCAACTTCAGCGCGGTGGGCACCGGTCGGCTGACCTCCAGTGTCCTGTTCGAGGCCCCGGGAGCATCCACCGACGACTGCGCTGTCGTCTGCGCCGACAACCTCACCTGCATCGCCTTCGACTTCGCGGCGACCGAGCAGCGCTGCACGTTCTACTCGGAGAGCATCACCAGCGACGCTGGCTCGGGACGCGACGTGCAGTCGTTCGTCTGGCACTTCCCGCGGCCGGACGGCACCCCACCACCCGACTACCGCCTGGTGGGAGATGTGCACCTCGTGACCCGCAACGTCACCACCGCCGCGGAGGCGCCGCGGACGTGCTACCTGGACGGCGCCATCGCCGCGCCGCCACCGTTCCCGCCGATGGCGCTGCTGGCTAACCTCGGCCCGCCACAGGCCACCCTTCCCGTCGTCGGGATTGACGACCTGGTGAACACGGGCAGCTTCGTCTCCAGCGACGGGACGCCGGCAAACGTGACTTGGGCTCCTGGTGAGCCGAGTAACGCGGGTGGCGTGGAAGACTGCGTGGAGATTTACTTCGCCGGAAGCGTCAACGACATCCCTTGCGACTCGAACCGCGGCCCGGCGCTCTGCCAGTACGTCGGCGAGAACCTGGCGCTCGGCAAGCTCAGCTGGATGAACCGGCCTCACATGTCATATCCACCCCAGCGCGGCAACGACGGCGACCCGGTGAGCAACCTCCATGGCCGGAACGACGCCACTGCGCCGCCGGTGCGCACCTGGACCGTCGACCTGGGCGCCCCGGTCCAGGTGAGCAGCGTGCTGTACGTGGCCCGTGTGTGCTGCGGCTGGCGCAACCGCAACACAGAGATCCGGGTCGGCAGCCATCCGGAGGCGTTCGACGAGCGCCACTCGGCGCGCTGCGTGCTGCGGGAGGCTCAGTTTGTGGAAGAGGGCTTTGCCCGGCTGCTCCGCTGCGCCACGCCGCTGACCGGCCGCTACATCCGCCTGATTCGCCGAAACGAGGTCATGGACTTCGCCGAGCTAGCTGTCTTCGGGAACCGGCTAGAGCGGCCGTAGCACCGCCGCCAGCCGCCAGCCGCCATCGCAACTTCCGGAGCCGCCGCCTCAGTGACGCTGGGGAGCGAGATGTCAGCACGGGTGGAGGGGGTGGGGAGGGGGAGGTCAGGGCGGCGCCCGGGATGGTCACCACAGTCTCCGTGACCACGCTTCACCTTCGCCATGGGGAATGCCAAGCAGCCGGTGGAGGAGTTCCAGGTGTGAAGACCACGTGGCGAAGCGTGCATGAGAGGGATCAATCGAAGGAAGAAAATCCTACGCACAATGCATTAACATGGATACGGACCCGTCCGCTCTGGCGGCCACTCATAAGGGCGATCATCCTGTGTGAGTGTCTCAAACCCTCCTCCTTCTTTTCCCCATTGTCTTCCCCTCAACAATCAGCACCTAACTCTACCCTACTTCCTCAAACACGGGCAGCAACACTGAGGTGCCGGCTGACCTAGATAGATACCTGGTCAGCGGACGGTGGCTGTGAGGCGCGAGTAGACGCTTATCCGTCGCATTCTACTCCGCGCCTCTTGTTCGTTGGCCTTTCTTCTGCATGATTTTCAAGAAAAGTTGTCGCTTTTTAGCGTAACTTTCTGAAATTGCTGGGGCTAACGAAAATTATGTTATTTGGATTGTCCACTCGGACCTTTATTCTTGTTGTTTTTCTACGTGACAGACCGGTGCCACATACTGACAGCAAGGCTATAATTACGTGTCAGCTATGCGGCGCTAGTCTCTATGAAAACATGGTGGTGACCGGCGCTGGTGACCTGTGACCCGGGTGCCATCTCGGGTGTGTCATCGCCATCACGTCCCCGACCATCTGGTGTGGGGTGCGGTGGTGTTCCGCGCGCCAAGGCATCACAGCAGAGCACTCTCGCCTCGACGAGAAGCCGCCTGTTTTTCGTATCTCCATAGAGTGTTCAGCCGCGCCCCAGAGCTGGCTGCCGCTGGCACCGGTCCCCACCGCTCCCCGAAACTAAGCAATGTTGGTTCACCCACCCGACGGATTGCTTGGATGCGGTGCATGCTATGTTGTTTACGCCTTTGAAGCTTGTTGTGTATGACATTGCTGACTTTTTTCATGTGAACGTTTGGCTCCTGTGTGAACACTTGTTTTATCGCGCGACTCGAGCCAGCCAAGGCCAGGGGTCTAGCTCCACAAAATCATTTGGGGTGTTTGCGAAGGTTAAACCTGCCTTCAGACCCAGTCAAAAATATGTTTCTCCCGGAACGTTCTCTGTTCACTTCGTCCTCAAAATAAGGGCTGGAGGCCCGTGGAAAACACAGCAAAATACGATCCCACATTCCTAGTGGAGTCCGTATCCCTACATTGGGCCCCAACCGTCGGCCCAGGGGCTAAACGACCCCTGGGAACTAAAGGGGCACGTGGCCCCTGCGCCCCTCCACCCTTTCATGTGCCATGGGACCAGAGTCCAGTCTTGGCTGAGCTTGTCTGAGTCCTCGCACAGAAGATCAGCGTCGAGTCGACCCGAGAGAAGGCGGGCGGTGCGCCACATCCTACGCCCGCCGCCAGAAAATCACGCCCGAAGGAAGACCAGAGTATAACGAGAATCCGCACTCAGAAGCTGGGAAACCTCAGAACCAAGGGAGCCAACCGACCAGCACCTCTAGCACCTCCAGCACATTCAGCACCCGCAGCAACACCGGCATCTCTCACACAACCAGCACCACCACCAGCGCCATCAGTACCTCCTGCATCACTAGCACCTCCAGAGCCTCCATGTCATCTAGCACCATCAACGTTTCCACTACTACCAGCACCTCCATCACTACCAACACCTCCAGTATGATCAGAATATCCAGCACCACCAGCACCTCCATCACTACCAACACCTCCAGCACTACGAGCATCTGCAGCTCCACCAGCACCTTCAGCACCACTCACCAAAGCGATACGGAACAGCGGCGACAAAGAGCTGTCGCCACCCAACCGGTCCGTACCTCACAGAGAGATCCGTGCTTCGCTTGTGGCTACCAGCTGTCGAAACCGTCGCCCTCCGTCGCCGCAGGTCATACAGATCAAACCACCGCAGTTGTCGGAACCGTCGCCCTCCGTCGCCGCAGGTCATACAGAACAAACTACCGCAAACCACCGTTTGGATGGACGCGGCGGCAACGCGACGGCTGGTGTGAGTCCAGTAATTACGTGCCGTCAGGCACGGGGCCGCAGTCGGTGCCACATTGCAACGGTTGATGGGTTTACTTTCTGTTGTGCTGGGCGGCGGTCTGAATTCATTCCGCTCGATTCGAAAGCAAGTGCTGCAGTCGCGTCCGGTTATGTCGGTAACTTTGAAGAAGGACCGCGCAATGGTACCGTGGTAGGCCGCCCGTCAGCTCAAATGGTCCGACCGCTTGAATTATGAGCGGATCAGTCCCCTCCTGTCAACGAATCTGGCAAGAACTAACCGGCCACAAAACCAAGGGGATTCTGGGAAAGAATCTCCTGGACGTGTATTTATGTGGAGAGGACCATTATATAATATAGAAACATCCAATTCCCCCCCCCCCCCGTGATAAGAGAATCGGAGCTTGTGACCAAAATAATTCAAAGTGGAGGACTGCGGGTTGATTTAAACGAAGCGTCCCACCATTTGGGGTGTCGTTATCTCGTTATCTCCTCCAAAAACATGCTCTTGTGAAACCTCTGGACCAATTTGGCCTAATAAAACCACTGAGTGGTGCCACTGCAGCACCGTTAATACGTAAAAAGGATATGAATTTTAATTCTTTTCGAGTCCAAATTACGCTTTAAGCTTTTTGTTATCGCACTGCACCTCTTTCCTGTAGTCGCGACCAGTGTTGTCATAACAACGACGGTGCCTACTTTACTGGCGCGAATAAAAGAACGTTTGTTATTGGCCCAGGGGGTAACGGCCTGTAACCGAGAAGTTGGTTGGTGAGTTGAAGCCTGAATCACTGCCGGACATGTATCATGTGATAGTCCCATTCCCAAAGCCGAGGTGCGCCTCGAAAAGAGCCACTGCGGCAATGGCCGGGGGAAATCAAAGCCAAAATATAACGCTTTGTTAAATTCGCGGGATCATAGCTTCACGCTCGCATGTTTTTGTCCCAACGGGGGATTTTAAGCCTTCATAGCGCTTATAACACACACAAGGTAGAGTGTTGCGAACACTGCAGACCACACACGTTGGAAAAGCAGGGCACGTGGAATACATTACATTCATAGTGATGAGCATGTTGTTCAATACGATTTCTCCCGCCGGAACGGCTGGTTATAAAAGAGCTGAGCTGTTCAGGAGGGTTTCGGAAAAAAACTGGAATTACGGATTAAGTCGTACGTGTCCGATCTACCAATAAGTGAAAATTACAAAAAGGTGGCATGCTTCCTTCAAGGAGCAGATGCGATGGAACAATGATGACAACGGCAAGAAGAGGAGCCATTTTGCTTTCACGTTCTGTTTGTCCAAGCTCTGACAGTAGAAAAGATCACTGCGACACCAGCCAGAGGCCGGGGAAGAGGCTGACCGGTTTAACCGCAATGCGACAAAACAACCGCCATTGTTACAGTTGCACGTGCAGCGGTATCATATAACATCCGGACGGCCAGCTGGGACTGGGCGGCTCATTTGACCACAATGCGGCAAAACAGCCGCCATTGTCACAGCTGCGCGTGCAGCGGTATCATTTAACATCCGGACGGCCAGCTGGGACTGGGCGGCTCATTTGACCACAATGCGGCAAAACAGCCGCCATTGTCACAGCTGCGCGTGCAGCGGTATCATTTAACATCCGGACGGCCAGCTGGGACTGGGCGGCCCATTTAACCGCAATGCGGCAAACAAAGTCGCTGTTTGGCAGGTGCATGTGCAACGGCTATCATGTGGGACATGGCCGGGCATCTGTGTTGGGTGGTCCATGCGAGCAAGAATGGACACCTCACGTTCCACGATCATATGTTCACAGTGTCAGTGGTGCGCCTTCCCTGACGCCATGACTCCTGTGACGACCGGCTTCTATCTTGTGATGCTCACTTCGCTGTGACATGAAAGCGCATCCGTTTGTAATCACGTACAGAACCACCAGGGACGCCGGGTAGCCATGGAGTGACGTTCTTGGAAGCTTGACTGGTCACAAAACACGCTGATGTTACACTTCTAAATCCCAGCGTTCTTATGAATAAACCAATTGTGCGTCCGCAGGGCACCAAGAGTGTACTATTCTACGGGACGTCACGTAAAATCCTTGCCGGACATGTTCACAGTGCGGTACGTTTTCTGCTTGCATCTTCTTAAATTCACAATAATCGTGCATGGGAGACATGGACCTTTACGCTTGCACATGCAATGCCTGCTCCGAACAATAAAATTTAAAGTTATGCTGTTTGGTATGCATCACACATTGTTTTCCACCAGTCGTGGTCGTTCTCAAGCGCAAACTTGGTTTGTTTATAATTGAGCCATTTGCGCCATTTGTCTCACCTCTATCAAGTAGCAAAGATTCTGCGCGCCCGGCAAAGATAACACGTGACGTCCCAGAAACTTTGCCGTCCGAGTCGTTGCGAACACCAAAAAGGTGCAAAATCAACACTATAGGGACTTTTCGCCTCGCCGACTGCCAAGGTCATGAAGAGACGCAATGTCTTTGCTATGAACCGCGTGGACTGCGGCGGTGGTATGGCCGGGGACCGAAACCAGACCCGAAATATCCAGAGATGAGCACCATACCACACCACCGCGACCGCTCCACCACAATCCGCAGAATCTGTGACGGACTGCAACGCCTGGGGTCGAGGCTCGTGCTTCTAAGATTTTAGAGTGAGCATGCTCAAAATTACGTCACATAACTTGTTTTAATAGTCGATTACATTGTCGGTTGTCGGTTGTCGATAACAGCGTTTAAAGATAATCACTTCAGAAGCGTCATCATTTTCGTCAACCAGTGGGCGACGGCTAAAAGTTAGCTACTGGGCTAAAGCTCCGCGTAAATGGAGACTGCAACGCCTGGTGTCGATGTTTTTGTTGCTAGGATTTGCGAGCGCGCATGCTAAAAAACATGTGACACAACTTGTATCACCAACGGATTCTAACTGAATGGTGAACATTTTCACACAAACATGGCTTGGCCATGTTAATACACATTGTTGACCATTCGATCTGCAATCAAATTTTCCCCTTTAAATTTGGATCAAGCACATCGATCTACAACCTACCTTCGCGATGTCCTCAAATCCTGTAGAACTGAGAGGAAAATTCTGACGAGGCGTCTGAATCCTATCGGCTTAGAAAAAGTCAACTTAATCATTGTAAATTAAGAGCGCTGGATATGCTTTCCATGCAGTCGTTCAACGCCTGATTTCAGCAGTTTATTGACCTCAAGGTACAAACAGAATTGAGCTCACCGTAGCTCCTGGCTTCTGTTCGGCCTGCCAGATAAAAGTAACGATAAAACGAAGAAAACCGGGTCCCTTGTTAACCAGTGAGCTATATCCGTGGATTTGGGGGATCACCATAAGATGGGCTTTTGTCAACCATGTGTATCCCCTTGGCAAGGCTCTGGCTACGCCCCTGCCTGCATACAGAAGCAAATCAAGTTGCGTACGTTGCATGATGGACAATGAAGTGTCTGTTGGGCCAATCCATACCTGAGGCAGACAGCTTTCCGGAGGCTATTTTTCTGCGATGGTGTGGTATAAGGGAAGATAATTCGGAAAAAAAACTGTTGCAGGTGTCCAACATATGTCTCATGCACCATGTAGAAGCAGCGCTGATCCAAAAATATGCAACGAAGTAGCCATACGATCAGCTCGCAGTCAGTCATGCGGGAGACATCCGGGCCAGGGCAGTGACCACCGACGACGGGCAGGAGCAGGGCCCAGATAAGGAACATATGACAGATGGGCCTCATTATGTGGCTTGGTTCTTAAAAGCAGTGTGAGCCATTGATCCACTTTCGAAGTTCTCCCCAGCCTATGTCCAGGCCGTATTTTGGCATGTGCCCTGTGGTGACACATGCCTCCTTGATGACCCAAAATGCCTACCTGCTCGTGCATTTTCGCTTCCCAAGGAGAGACAATGTTAGAATGGAAAAATAATCTCGGGAAGCTGGATAGCCTTATTTGCCAAATGACAGATGAGTCGAATAGGCAAGATTGTGCACCAGTGAGAAGCACCTAGATGCATATCTAGCATAGCAGCCATGACGTTTGAATAAAGAACGATAACAACCTCCATTTCTACTCCCTCCCGCCGGTCATCGGGCTCGCTTTCCAGAAAAAAATTGCTGAAGTACACCCTGAGCTTGGTCCCCCACCTTTTGGGACGTTCCTACGCCTTTGATTGAGACATGTATGACAAGTTTAATGAAGTTTTTATGGCAGTCCTTTTTCCTTCGATTTCGGCAAAGAAGCCCGGCGTGAGCTAGTTACATGAACCAAAACGCGCAAGTGTCATCGGCGTGTCGCATGTGCGATCATGGTCTTATGTGTCATATAACTGGAAGAAAAGATGAATCCAGACATAGCATAGATGATAAGGTCTAGCAGTATATAGTTTAAATACTATTACTACACGCAAAAACACCAAACGTGACAAAAAATGCAACAACTTGTTGGAATACCCCGTTTACAGAATGAATAAGGCCGGTCTAGCGAGCATATTCGAGGAAAACTTGATTGCATATCATTCTTCGGTACCGCACTGAGTGGTTCCTGACTGTTTCCAAGAACCATCTCACAGATTTGACAATAGCCTGGTGCTCTTCGCAAACTCAGTGCACGGCTTGAACGTAAAGCTACATACAATAGCCTAGCACCTCCCTAGCTCTAGTATTTGTTTTCATTAATCAGTCTTTCCAAATGAGGCTTAAATCAAGGTTGTACATCAGATATATTGACGAAATATGTTACATCGGAGCCTAGGAGACTGACTGGTTAGATTTATTTGCTAAAATTACAAACGCTTTCCCAACACGTCTGTCACACCGGTACAGAGCGCTCAATAAAGTTGATTGCTTCCTCGACACCTTATTTATAGTACCGCTGGACGGGACCTAAACCACAGCAATACACTTCAAGCCCATGGTGTCTCGATTATACTACACGTCGCGTCGGCACACCCACGACTTAACAGCAAGCAGCCATGAAAACTCAAATATTAAGAGCGTTGCGCGTTTCTTCTGGCCCTCAGTTGTGTGAGCATAATGTGTCTGAAATTGAGTTAAATGGAAGTGCTCCTCGTTTTCCGTGACCATATATACCCGTAAAAACGAGTGTCCGGTGCCGTTTGTATTGCGCCTCCTCGATGTAATTTCTCATCGCGTCCAAAAAGAAGCCGTAAAAGGGTGAAATAAACGCATTCTTCACATGTGGAGCACGTCTTCATAGATGACGTAATGTGAGAACAGAGAAATGCCGCGTTACCACTGCACAGTGGAATCATTGCAAATAGGGGTGGGTTCAGTATGTCGTGAAGGGAGGGGGGGGAGGGGGAACGCGTAACATTGTGGTGCCCGCTAGAGTTTGGGGTTCCCTCCAAACAAATTCGGCCATTACATTTTAAGATAAAAGGAATATGTACATTACATCCCCAGCTTTTTAGCCAAAGTAGCGCTAGCTTTTAGCACTTTTTTTTCTCTTTTTATCCCTCATTTTCTAAGGGCTGCCCGGCAAAACATGGGTTTCAATATTAAAGTTATTTACTTTATGCATAAATATGCATGCATAAACAAATATATATATATATATATATATATATATATACATTTTATATGTGTATATGTAATGGTAAATACGGGGCCCCACGCAAAAAATATGCACGACCTTAGGGTAGCATGACCAGCAATCCTTATCCTAATTTCATTCTAGTTGACCGCTCCAGGAAACCCCAGTGTTCCGTTGGGGGTAAAAGTTCCTCATGTATGCGCTAAAGGATTGAAAATGAAATAAGAAAAACGGGGTAAGACATAAAATCTCCAGGAACTTAAGCGCAGGGACAGTTCAGGTGGAATAATCGTAGCGTAAGATTTCGGACCGGTTCACTGGACACCTCGGTGGCGCACTGATACAGAAGGTGCGCACATCGTTGCGAGGAAAACATCACAGGCAAACACGCTAAATATACCTGATGTCGAATTAAGTAATCGCATCGTGTGCGTAGTTTGATAGATGCAGCATTGCACAAGAAACACTAGCTGTAAAGTAGACATTTTAACGCCAGGAGACAAGTATTCATATATTTAAATTGTTGCGCGGAATCGTCAACTTTGTTCGAGGCAAGAAAGCATGCATCATCTTGGGACGTCACATGAACAGCGTTTTTTCATGTGAAGTACTTATAGAAATGGCGCTTTAGCGATTGTCTTGAACACCTTGACCTAATTCTTGGTAATGGTCATCTGTTACTTCAAATTTAGCCGTCTGTGCTTCGATCAGCTTTTCGCACGTGCTGGATATGGGGTGCTTCTACATCACCATACTGAAGAATATTCACTCTCATTCAACGATGTTCACTTCTGACCACGAAATATTTTTGCTAGCTTGGTATTGCTGAAAACCCATCCCATAGTAGCCACGATGCTGGTGTATGATGCCGGAAACGATTATTAACTCGAACTTATTTGCTATTTGAACTTGTTTGAACTTATTAACCCAAACTTATAAGGTCTGCATTATACTGACAATCGAGCAGTCAAGATCGACATCCAGAATTGCCCACTGCTGGTGTTTGGACAATTATATTTTCGGGCCTAGCGCGGCTATAATTCCATTTCATATTCCGCCTGCTCTCAATGTTTTTTAGCACCCCAAAATGCGGGCAAACCTTGCCGGACTCGGCTTTGACAATCAGCGACTAATGCTCGGCGCGGCGCCTGCAGCCAGCTGTTGACGGTTGCGCGCAACAATTTAAATATATGAAGACTGGTCTCCTGGCGTTAGAATGTCTTCTTTACAGCTAGTGTTTCTTGTGCAATGCTGCATCTATCAGACTACGCACGAGATGCAATTACTTAATTCGACATCAGGTATACTTAACGTGTTTACCTGTGATGTTTTCCTCGCAGCGATGTGCGCACCTTCTGTATACGTGCGCCACCGAGGTGTCCAGTGAACCGGTCTGAAATCTTACGCTACGATTATCCCACCTGAACTGTCCCTGTACTTAAGTTCCTGGAGGTTTTATGCCTTACCCCGTTTTTCTTATTTCATTTTCAATCCTTTAGCCCATACATGAGGAACTTTTAACCCCAACGGAACACTAGGGTTTCCTGGAGCGGTCAACTAGAATGAAATTAGGATGAGGACTGCTAGTCATGCTACCCTAAGGTCGTGCATATTGTTTGAGTGGGGCCTCGTATTTACTATTACATAAACACATAAAATGCATGTATGTATATATACATCTATATAAATACATATATACATATATCTACATGTATATATATATATATGTTATATGTAGTTATGTGTTATATGTAGTGAAAAAGAAGCCAAATGCAACCTTCATCTGAAAAGTGGAGGGAGGGGGGGGGGGCAGTTAACATTGTAAGCCCCCACCTTGAAGAGTGGGGGGTCCATGGTCCCCTGGCCCCCCGTTCCTACACTCAGGGTTTCAGTGGACCAAAAGTGAAATGCACAGAATAGAGTAGAATACACAATATATGGTGTATGGTTCTGTACGCACGGGATGTACACAAAATGTCTTGTAATCTTTTCCAGTGAAGTTGTATATGAGAAGAATAATGCATGCCCCGCAGGGGCACCGGCTTTGGCCGGTGTAGGGGACTAGCGCCCCCTCGGGTCCCAGCTCCGGTAACGGGTGGACAGCGCAAGCTGGTCCTCTCAGGGCGTAGCGACCCTGCCGATGCGTGAGCTCCTGCTCCTCGTCCCACCCGCTCCTTCCACTTCACCCGCACTCCCACATCCGGCCCTATCACCATTCCTCATCCTCGTTTTATCGGGGTCGCCGTGCCCCCTCGCCCACGTCCCCGGGTTGATCGGATCCTGGTGGCTGAGGGGCGCGTCGTGCGGGTCAGTCACGGCACGTCCCAACACTCCACTTTGGCCAGAATATCCGGGGGCGTGGGGGGTCCGTGGGGCCCCACACGGGTCTAGCGGCTTGTCGCTCGCGTTGCGATTGGGTGCTCTTTGCGGGTCTCCGCTTGGGGCACCTGACCGCGCGCAGCGGCTTAAGGGGTCAAGGGGTGGCGGCGCTGAACCACGGTCAGGACGGGGAGGGGTCTC